GGAAATACTTATTCATATCTGAAAATGTTTAAACAACTTCAAACTTGTGTTATAGTAACTTTAAAATTTGCAAAATCTGATTCTCATGTTTCCATTCAAAATTGTAAGGTTGCTTTTATATCAATGAGAGGTTATAAGTGTCTGTAAGAGAAGGAGTGTGTTACTGTGTTTGCTTATCTTAAATGGCTAATTAAATGACTGAGACATCCCTGATTTGCAGATAATGAGGTGTGAACTGTGAAATACCTAGCGTTTAAATTTCATTCCATTGAAGACAAACAATATTATTAAAACAATTAATAGCTCTCAAAACACTTATTTCAATACAGAATGAAATTGTGCTATTAGTTTAATTACTTAAAGACACATTTAATTTACATGTTTATTACTAAGAGTTCTAATTTACTTTTTTTTTTTTTGAAAAAGACACGTACAGGAATGTTTAATGTGTACTGTCGACATACGGACAGTCCTAATACTTCTAATGAAGTAATTCACAATAAAATATTAAATAATTTTTGTAACAAGTCAATAAATATGGAGGTTCAGATCCAAGTGTGAAAGGAATAATTAATTCCTTGGCATATTTTATTGAAGGAATCATGTCTCCACTTTCCATGGTAGAGAATCCCTCATTTGGGCATTTAGTGAGAATGTTAGCCAGAATAAAACCTTAAAAGAATCTGCACTGAAACTGCAGGAACACATTCAAACTTCAGTGGATAACATCAACATTTACCATTTTTAAAAATATTGATATGATATTTGAAGGGATAAAAACTTGGAAGTAATCGATTATTAATCGATTACATCTTCCAAAGTAATCGATTACAGGACAAAAATGAGTGTAATCGATTAATAATTGATTACACAAAATTCCTCTAAGTAATCGATTATTAATCAATTACATTTTTCAGTAATTGTGCCCATCCCTGCATCGGACTTTGGAGTCCCATCGCACTTTTGAGTCCTACATATATACATGTATATATATATGAAATAAAATCTAGTCTTATGGCAGGAAAAAGTAAAACATACCGACAGTTTGTTGAGAGACCGAGTGAGACCAGCCATTAAATCCAAACAACTCATTAGCAAGGTTGATGAGACGCCAGCCTTCTATGTAGGCAAGCTGCAACAAATTGTTATCACGTTACAATAAACTGTGTACTAGTATCATTTCGTTGTTTCACTGATTTTATTTTGGAATTTTACCTTTATTTTTTTTACATGTAGGAGCATTTTATTCTTAATGAAATTCCATTTAAAATGATCTTATTAACAAGACTGTCACTATGGACATAACTGAATTGATGCAATGTTCAATATTTACATTTGCTGTGTTTTTCTATTTAACCAACTATGAAATTGATTTGAATGTCATTTTCAAGTATACTCACACGTAGAAATATACACAGAGAAACTCAAGCTAAAGTGATGTCACATTGAGGCTACAGAGACGTTAATAAATATAAAACAGTATAGGGCAGCTATAAATTCAAACATTGAGTTAATTTTTTATGCTTTAAACATGTAAAATGTAAATATAAGGAATGTGTTAAAGTTTAGTGTAAATTACTGGTGTGTAAATCACACAGACTTGCACATAGGCATAATTTCATGAAGTGCTAGCTCGCTTCATGAATTATGCCCACGAGACAAGGAATGTGGGTGGTTACGTTCCGATTCCTGTTTGACATGAGTGGATACGATCCAAAATAATACATGTTTGACCCAGGTGGTTTTGTTCCAAATCAAAAAGAAAAACAGCTAATAGATAATTTACATTTGCAATTATATGATATTTAATTTTGTACGCAGTTTGAATTCTGTGCAATATTGTTTATTTATACAATTCATAATTGTAATTTTGAAGCAATTAACTGGTAAGTTTTTACCAGTGAAGAATTAAGGTATTTGATCTTCAAAGAAGGCTCCAATTGTATGTTAATTATCTAATTCTTGTTTACACTGCTGCATGTCTCTGCCTTTGTGGGTTCTTTCGAAAACATTCAAACAGAATATTCTAATTCACATTGATCAAAATCTTAGATTTTAAGCATGTTAAGCAAAATACATTAGGAAGATAGGACAAAATAATTTTTACTACACTTCGTTATTCGTACCATTTGTATAACAGAAACAACCTAATAGACACATATATGTTTGAAGCCATTTGCTTTCTATTGACACCAATGTACTACACACCTGTGTGCTTATATACACCTGTTGGCATATATATAAGCAGTACGAAACCACTTGGGTTGTTACAATGTGGGCAGAACACGTAATCGGAACGTAACCGTGACAAGTCTGTGAAATTTACACACCAATAACTCACAAAAAATTAAAATATATTCCTTAAATGACCACTAAAATTATACAAACATTTCATGTTCAGCAAAATGTCTATGGACACAGTTTAATAGTATGCACTAAGTAACTAACAACTCACCAATTATAACAAAGTATAGTTACACAGCGTTTTTTTTCCTTATATAACTGGTACCGATAAACGGTACCATTCCCAATGCCAAAAAATGTTAATTTTTCCCAATTTGAGACTAAAAAATCCCAATTCTTTTTTATATGAAACATTATTGTACAAGTTGACTAATTGTTTCACTTCCGCTTAAATCGAAAGTAGAGATGTCGTAATATGGTGGGAACTGTGGTGTAGACAGCGTAGTGTCATACATTTTGACAAATTGAAAGCAGAAAATGTGAAAAAAGGGACATTGATATGAAAAACAATAAATACCTGTTGTTTATTCTTTAAAAAACGGAGTAATAGGTAATAAGGTTGGAATAAACGCAAAATACGTTTCATTTGTTTAAATGACAGAAAATTCTCCCATGTTCTACTTCGAAGCTATTTTTCCCAATTGAACCGGTACTGGACCCTTTCCCAATGCATAGAAAAAAATCGCTGGTACATGTGTACTTTGAGTTATGCAGGTCCAGTCTGAGTCCAAAGACTATTTCTACCTACGTAGCTACTTATAACTAAGTAGGTATTTAAACATACTCCAGGTATAGCTATTTTTACCTACTTTTTGCTTTATATTTGCATTTCGTGGCCAGCGCACTATAGCGAGTACCAAATTCCTTAATACGGTCACACTGACGATGTATACAACAAAACTTTTAGCCAAAAAATGACTTCTTTCTAACTTATCAATTTTGCATCAAAACTGCATCCAGTTTCATTTTCTGGTAGCTATGGATAAAAACTAAGTCGAATATGTCGTACAAATCTGTATCAATTTTAAAAAATCTTTATGCATTCTTGGATAAAATGTTTTGGGGATGATTTTTCATGCATTTCCTCTCCATTCTCGTAAAGCTTTCAAATTAACACCCTGATTTTTTTCTGTGCAAATGCACAAGATGATAAACAACGTTTGACCTGTTTTAAAGATGCACCTTAATTATTATTTTATTTTATTTTGTAGACAGGTAAAAGTAGGTAGAAGTAACTACTTCAAGTAGGTTTAAATACCTAGGTAGCTATTAATAGCTACGTAGGTTGAAATAGCTAGTCTTTGGACTGGACCTGTAAAACAGGTTAAACACAGTTCCTTTTTCGAGGAAGTATTACTATAAAACGGGATTATTCCTCTTTTCAGTAATAAAAAACATTACTGTATACGAGAATTTTCACTCGTTTACCCTCTATTTTCGTGTTTGCTTTGAATAAAAGATTAAGTGCAAGAATATTTTCACATCCTCTAAATATTTATAGTCTATTAAGTGTATGTATGCTCAAAACTACAATATTTACCACTGCAAAATGCTGAAAAAGAGTGATGAAATATTTCTATGATATAAATTTCTTATGGAAGCTTATCTGTGTTAAAATTGTGAAATTGAATACGTTCAGCACTTGCTAACTCGTTCATGAAATTATTCGTTCTAATTTAATTTTATATCATTTCTTTCAAAGACATCCTAAAAATATTTTCTTATACCACTGCTTCTTTTACAGATGAAAATAATTGTTTAAAATATTAAATTATAAAAGATAGTCTTTCAAAAATGGTTTTAGCATGAATGCCCTTATAAGAGTCCCTACTTTTCGTATCATTTATCAACAGGGAAAATTGAAGTAAAAGTCGTGGATTACTGCTGCATGTGAGTTTATAATTCCTGTGCATGTTCAAAAGATGTCACCTCCACGAAACCAAGCTATGAAATTTTCCGTTTTTGAACAAATAATAATATACTTATAAGGGAAATATTCACATCGGTTGGAAGAAAACTCATGTCGTCGTACGATTAAATCTCACGTTACTCCTGTCTACAGCACTAAAAGGCAGAATTTTTGTCAGCGAGATTGGTTTAATAAAGTTTAAACACATCACATCATATTTTTCATGCACTTTTTATTTGATAAACAGATTTGGGACATTATTTAAAAAATATGACGAAAATTCCCATATACAGTAAGGCTTTTTATTACTGAAAAGAGGAATAATCCCGTTTTATAGTAATACTTCCTCTAAAAAGGAACTGTGCCCAACCTGTTAAACTTGTAACAGATGTTGAGGTGCCCATTTACCCTCTGTCCCCCGGCTCCAGCACGCTGACTTATGAATTCGGGTCCTAGTTTCTGCCTCAATGCATTTTGTATTGCCTCTTGTTCGTCGTGTGAATACTCTGTCTACATAGAGAGAGAGAAATTCGTTGACTATTTCTTTAGTATTTCTAAGTAACGTTCATGTTTATCTATCTTGGTATATATTGCAAAATGTTGAATGGTTCAGCACTAGACTTTAAATGCAATCTAAAGAACACAAAACTGAAAATGGTAAAGTATTTAACCTGTCCAAAAGAGGCCATTTTCTCAGAATCATTAGGCCTAAAAGGCTAGATGTTTACATTCTCGAATAATGGCGCCTCACTGCCACTGAGCCAATCAGAGCGAATCTATTTTTCAGAGTATATATCTAATATGAACAAAACGAAAACTATTCGCTGATCAGATAATTTGAGACAATGGGAATTTAGAGGCATCAAATTAATAATAATTAAAATAATGACAATATTAATAATAAAAGAAGAAGAAAAAAAGGGAAAATGCAATGAATAATATAAACCCTTCATAAAAGGAAGGTGGAGAAAAATAAAACGTTAAAGAAATTGTTCAGAAACAAACAACGATATATTTGATGTGCCTTAAACAGTTTTTTTTTCTTTTACAGTTAAGCTATTTAAAAAGTGTAATTGCTCTCACTGAAAATAGCATTATAGTAGCAACACATGAAATAAGCAAATATTTAAAAGCATACATTTACCTTTCATATTAATATATCTCATGTATTATTGAACGTGTTTGGTGCGATTATGTTTTATTTTTGGCACAAAATAACTATATAAGTACAAAATCTTTTTAAATCTGATAAGTAATAACCTTTCCATATATCCGTTCAAGCACACTAGATCGAGTCGCCCGCTGGCGCAGTGCATGCATGGTTAGAGCGTTTGCTCTAGAGTCGCGAATTAAGGGGATGAAGGACACATGGTCACATGACTCTGTTTAACTACGTCATAGTCTCCGTTTATATTAGCGCAAAAAGTGTAAAGCATCAGTTCTTGTATAATTTTTTGACAATTTTTTAACTTTAATTACCATCTTATATTAAAAAAATAAAAAAGTTTTAACATTCTTGTAAACATTAACAAATTATGAAAAAGATTGATCCACTCCTCTGTTTCCCTAAACTGCGCGTCCAACAAGTCGGTGACGTCATACATGATTTGTTAGTACAGCAAGATCATACTCGGTGAACAGAGGGGCGGTATTATTATGTAAAAACGGGTCATAATCAGTATATGATGAAATATTTTGAGAAACGGGGAACACAAAATTATTTTTGCATGGCTGATGACGGAAATCTTATGTAGGTATATCTTATTTCGCTTATTTAGCTTACGTGTGACGTCATAGTTGGGTTTTCCCGTACTCGAGAAATGTAACATGACACGTTTTTGTCATGCGTATGTCCTCTTTAACGCTGTCCTGTGAAATAATGAGGTCAGCTTCATCATTCGAAACTTTTACAGTTAATCAATAATTTGAAGGATTTGCATTTCAACGTAAATTAAAAAATATTGAATGATAGAATTTTTTGTGAATTACGTTTTTTATTGTTTAAGTTGTCTTAAAAAGTGCATTATTTTCCCTATCCAGATGCAATGTGATAGACAAAACTTGCTTTTTCGAATTTTAAATCCTAGTTATACTCTGAAATATTTTAAAAGAACCATGTCCTCTTTGATATTTTTTATGTATGCTTAAAAAATCCCATTATGGACAGAGTAATGCGCCCGGAAACTTGGAGAATTAAAACTCCACTTAGATACTGTAGGGCATAGTGTTTGTCAATCAATATCTCCAAAATAAGGTAAGAAACCTAATGATTTAACTGCTTTAAGATATGTGGGACATACTTAATTAGAAATATATAAAATATGAAAAAAATTGAATGACAAGTATTTTTTCAGCTCAAGGTCCTTCTCTTCCTTAAGTAAGAATTAGGTTGATCCTTACGTCGCAGGTTCGAATCCCACCGAGGGACGTGGAGACGGTCCTTCGGATGAGACCGTATAAACTGAGGCCCAGTGTCGCAGTAGGTGCTGGCACGAAAAGGATCCCTCACTACTCAATGGCCCTGAGTGCCGAGTATATAGGTCTAAATTTGCAGCCCTCCACCGGCAAATGGTGTCGTCTCAATGTGAATGAAAAATTCTCAAAAGGGACGTTAAACAAACAAACAAACAATTAAAGCAACTAGATCCTTAGTATGGAAAGTACATGCAAACGGCATTGTGGGAAAGGGAGTCCCAGATTTCATGGTACATGTACACTAGATAAAATGGCATTATAATGCACCAATCAATATATTCATCTGCAAATACGATATCTGCCTCATCGATACGAGCATATCTAAAGTGATGTCTTGCCACCTGCAGTCAAATTTGTCCATGTCTTTATTTCAAAACAACACAACGCCCTCAAGTGACCCTCTTGTGCGCAATTTCTCGAAGTCGATTGAGCGGTGTACAATGGTGGTCAGAGAGGTTGCATACAACAGCGATGATGGCTCTGTCTCTCAAACGATTTTAATTTTAATTAAAAAAATTGTTGTGATTGTTAACTAATGAGCTATTTTTAAATCCACTACACAAACAATTACTAAAAACTATTTTCTGTCAGTAAAAAACAGTTTGTTAATGCTTGAAAACATTCTCCGAAGAAAAAAAAATCTTCTAGCTATTGCGTTGCGACTTTTGCGAAAAATGCAGAATTTCGTTCGTTTTGTCTAAATTGTTCTTGAATATTTAAACACCGGAAGTAGAAAGTGTATAAATATTAATTAAAGACGGGCTGCTGAGAAAAAGTTGTCTGCAAATGTTGAAGTTAATTCATAGGCGTTTAAGAGGCCGAGTGGATTGTAGGAATTTGGGGGAAAGGTTATTCTAATCTATGCTGAAGTAGAATGTGATTTTTTTGGTAGGTTTGACCGGAGAAACATTCTCTTCGCGGTGATGGACTTCGCTGATTGAGATCTTTCGCCCATGCCCCTGCGGAGATGATAATTTTGGCACTTGAGAGGATAATGAGTTCGTGCATAATTTCATGGTGACTAGACATCGTAAATCAAAATGTTTAGTAAGAGCAAGAAATCTAAGGAAGGAAAGGTTCGGAATGGGAAAGAGAGTCCTAGCCATGGCCCCTTCAGCAGCATGACTGCCTCACTGCCAAAGAATATCTTCTCTGGAAAATCTCGCAAAAATTCGGGGGGATATGTTATTGCAGATGGAGGGAGTCAACCATCCTCATCTAAGAATGGTCAGACGATGGGGTCAACGGAAATGATGGCTCGGTCACAGACACTGAGTCATTCCCCAGGCCATGGGTACTATTTTGAGGGGGTTAGCCATGGAGGGGGAAGTCCCTATCACAGTCCCTCCAACCCAGCCCTCTCTAATGCAAACCTATCAAATGCTCATGGAAGCCCCTTCAGCAGCCCCTCTCACAGTGGAGGGAAAACAAACACTTTGAGTAGTGTACGGTCCCTAAGGGAAAGATATGAGCAGGAATCAAGTCCCCAGTTGAGTGATCGGTCACTAGAGAGGCAGATAGACAGACTTCAGATGTTAGCCCAGAGTGAATCTAATCCTAACATCAGTCCAAGAGACTTTCATAGCTACTCCATGTCATCTAGTTTCAGTAGAGAGAGAGTGACAGACAGGGAATACCCTCACATGGGAGCACGGTCATTAGAGCGTGATCATAACTATCCGGGTAGATCACGCTCCATGGAGCGTCCAGACTATACAACACAATTATACAATCAAGAGATGAGAAATTTTCGTGACACTTTTATCCTGGATTTGGAAGGACAGATCGCTGATTTGAGCAAAGAGTGTGCGAAGCTACACCAGGAGCTTGACTCCACCAAAGAAAAGCTGAGTTCCAGCATGAACAGCATAAAGACCTTCTGGAGTCCAGAGCTGAAGAAAGAAAGGGCCTTACGCAAAGAGGAAAGTGCCAAGTATTGTTTATTGAATGAACAACTTAAAGTGGCTCAGGCAGAGCTCAAGGTTAGAAGTAGTATAGTTTTTTTTGCATGTGAAGAGAGTATTATTTTGTTATGTGTTTATTATAAAATTGCAAAGTTCAGATTTCTCATTGGGAAAGTTTCAAGAAATAGGTGTAAAATATGCTTATAATATTCATGATATCATTACTTAAAGCTATGTATGGCGTATCCGAGCTAAAAAATAAAAATACGAGACTGATTGTAGATGAACATAATATTTGTTATTTACGTTCAAATTAAAAAAAAAAAATCTAACCGATTTTCACATGTCGAATATCCCTACATTTCTATAGTTGACTTGACTTCAAACTGTGTCTGATATTTAAATGCAGAGTCGGTAAATAAATCGATTATCATGATTATAGTTTTAAATTTCTAATATCTATGAAACACTTTTTATTTAAATTGTGTAATTCACAGGAAAGTCCTATCTTTATATAAAGTAATAAAACAAATAGAAAAATCTTTTTAATTTTAGTTAGTTTGAACTTATCAAAAATATGCCATATATGACTTTAAAATTGTAGTCAGAATGAATTAATGTTCATGCCTAATATAGATGAAATCAAACAAGTTTTAGTACATTTAAAACTAAGTGAATCAAGGCAACTTTCTCAGAGAAACTAATTAGCATGGAACTCTCATGCAAAATGAAATATTAACATTGACATTGCATAGATGTTCAAAACAATCCAGTCAGCATAGCAGCATGAGCATTGTATAAGTTTCCATTTGACTGATGGAATTTTATGCTTTGTCTGGTGGAGTTAGTAATACACAATTTATTTGACTGGCATATGATGGTTCTTTTTTTGATTGCAGAAACAGGCGTCTGTAATCCAAAGTTTGGAAAGTCAAGTTAGTCTGGGTGAGGATGTGCAGGCGAGCACGAGGATATCTCAACAGGAGATCGAGATTCTGCAGCGAGAAAAGGACAAGCAATCAAAAGAAATACTCATCCTACGGAGAACAGTCGACGAGATGGAGCTTCGAATCGACATCCAGAAACAGACACTCGCAGCTCGAGATGAAAGCATGAAGAAACTGCTCGAGATGTTACAGAGTAAGGGTCACTCAATAAGTAACATACAGGAGAATCAACTCGAAATCGAGAGCCTGCAGGCTCAGAGACTGGAAGATGAGCGCAAGATCAAACAGCTGCAGAATGAGCTCAGCCAACAGTTAGATGAGTCTGCTGCTCTCAAAGAGGTAAGGCATACTGGTCACTATGTTATAATGTACAGTCAAGCTTTGTTATTCTGGACCCTTGTGTTACCAAAGTAAATTGATCAGATTAATGAAGCATAAGAATTATTGATGTTTTTATAAATGGTAGATGTTAACATGTGTTAATGTAAAATCTGTTCTTCACAAAGTTTGTCTAGGAGATGAAGAATCTAGATTACTGGTGTACAGATTATGGAGGCTTAACTGTACTTATGTTATGATTGTATGGAGGCTTGACTGTATTGTTATGTGAGATTATATGGAGGCTTGACTGTATTGTTATGTGAGATTATATGGAGGCTTGACTGTATTGTTATGTGAGATTATATGGAGGCTTGACTGTATTGTTATGTGAGATTATATGGAGGCTTGACTGTATTGTTATGTCATGATTATGTATCAGATTTCTTACATTGTTAACATCTAATATACAAATTTTTTACCTCCTAAACATGCTCAACTTGATGAGTTTTCCCAACTAGAAATATGGAAATGGAAAGTTTTTACGCATTTAAAATTAGCAGCCAGAAAAATAGAAACTCAGTTTCAAAATTGGATGATAAATTGACATTGATTTAGAATAAATTGATGAAACAGTGATAATTGTTTCTCACTTTTAGTGTATGATAATGCCTTTGATTTTATTTTTGTTAATTTTCAGGAAAAGAATCATCTATCAGATGAAGTAAAACAACTTGACCTGCAGTTAAAACAGATGCCAGCCAGCAATCATACCATGAAAGCCATGCTGGAGGCAAAGGTATAATCAGTAATTAACTGCTAATTAGTATTGATTGGTATCACTCCTGTTAACAGTTGGAAATTCCAACAAAACACTGTGGTTTTATTAATTTTTTGTTAAACATCAATTCTCATTTGTTTTCCTGTTTTGAACATATTTTATTGACAATATGTCAAAGGGACTGGACACAATTTTTCTACAAACTAAGGTGTCCTCTCCTTGTAATTTTTTTCTGAGTGAACACCATATCAACAAATTAGATGACCAAGGAGCAACAGATTTTACTAGTTATTGTAGATTCCTTAATATTGCAAAATGATCAACTTACAGACTGCAAATGCGAAAACAAAAATTCCTGATGGGACTGTTGATCAAGACTTACATGTATTTCAGCAATATATGACAATAAAAAGAAAAATTATTTGATAATAAATTCCTTGAATATATTTAGGAATCAATAGTATAATTGTATACTAGTGAAATGGTTTAGTTTGTCAAAACCTAAAAATTTGATTCCCACAAAAATTAATGAAACCATAGCACTTTTCCCGAATGTTTCAGTTTGTTAGATAATGTTGACTTTGTTGATTATTTTTTGTGACCACCAAAATAAAATGGAAGGCATGCACACTTAATAAACATATCCCTCATCATTCTTTGGCTTATGTAGGTCAAGGTCAATATAATCAAAAGTAAATTTGTTTTGATTTTTAAAAGAGACTTTGAATTTTGTTGCTCAAATTTGTGCAGATTGTTTACGATGCAATGATTTATGTATAACAGTTTGAGAAGTGTATTAAAAAGGTATTCCATTTTATTGTATGAAAAGTGTAATCGGAATTATTCAATGATAACATGTTTCTGTCAGCGAAGCAATTGTCTGTAATCGGATGCCTAATTAGTCATCTATTGATTACTTTAACGACAAGACTGTTTGCTCTGCAGTAGATATTGTCATCAGTGATGATTTGTGCATACTTGGTGAAAACTATTATGTAGGAAATGGTACTTGAGTAACATTTTAAACACTTGCAATGGCATGCCTAAGATAGTTTTACATTTGTGTTCATAGAACTTGTGTCTTAAGAATTCATCAGATTTATAGTTTTTATATTATTTTGAACATAGAGTAAGGCAGAATTCCTGATTGTGCTACACAATGTCTTTATCTGGGATACAGAGTATATAGAGTTGATCATATAATAGTATCCTAGCTCACAATACAATACATTGTATTAGCTGAGTAGTATACTGGGTTAACTTAATATTGGTGTATATTGTATTTGGATGGGTTTTTTTTTTTGGATCTTGAAAACCATGTGTATGGGGACAGAATTTCTTTTGCTGAATTTTACAGGGGGAAGAAAACCAGCTTTCTTATGCATAATTCTCTTTTTACACCCTTTGAAAAATTAAGTGTGCAGTAAACAAGTAAACTACACCATTCCTAGCTGCCATGTCCTGTAATTAGAGACCCCCAGACTCTCTTTCTTTACAGGTGATTAAACTGATTTCTCCGTCCCACTAGAAATATGACTGTTTTATTATGTTTTATGACTTCATTTATTTATGACTAAACATTCAATAATTCTCCTTTACCATGTATTTACCTGGCCAGGGATGTATTGTAGTATTATCCAGTGTAGCATGATGTACAAGCATCAATTGCCAAATTTGGTGGAGATAAAATAATTACATAATTTATTTACAGTAAGATGGGGCATTATGCTTACACAATTGTAAAATAGTTTTATTGTCATATTTTGTATGATCTTTTGTGCATTTGTAGATTTGGTGTTTTATAGTTGACCTGGCATGACCTTTAGTATTAAAGGTTAGGTAAGCTTGTACACTTCAGCTTGTAGTGGGGGTATGGTACTTACTCAAAGTCCATTGTACTGTAATGTCATTCACAATCTGGGTGCATGTGAAAATATAAACATAAGGACTTATTATACAAAGAAATAAGTACGACATGCTTCTGAAACAAAATATGGTTTGATACAGCAAACAAAGTCTTCTTTTTCAAATTTCGACTGCGACTATTGCATGAATGTGTATATTTAATATGTATATTATCTGTATCAATTCATGAGGGTGGTGATGGGTGACCTAGATAGCTTGGTAATTAGGTCATTGTTTGGAACAGGAAGTTGTAACAGAACAGGAAGCGGTACTAATTCTTCACAGAATCGGAATCCTTTGTTTATAGAAGTGTGACAGATCAATAAAAAGTTGACTACTTCAGCCCTGGAAACAAAGCTACAGCTAAAACTGTCATTACTGAAGTGCATCAAGTCAAGAATGCCAAACAGTCCTGTCCGTTGTAGATTTGATTTATAATTTTGATTCAGTTTAATTTAAAGCCCATTCTTAAAAGTAGCTTAAGTTATTGAGTGTTTTCTGTTTGTTTAAATCAGATGAATGTTGTCTGCTAATTGAAATCTGAAGTACCATTTCCTTTTTCAATAATTGTAGGAAGTTTTATAAATGGTTTAAATCAGTGATTGTAATTTGAGGATAAATACAACAGCTCATGAAACATTAACAATGTCAATAAATTTACTCAATCTGAAATTTGTCATCATTTTCGACAGCATTGGATACTTTGTTGATGGTTGAAACAGACAAATAAAAATCAGATTTATGTATATTTATTTTACTTTGATAAATTGTACTTAGAATACATGGAATTTAGAAAACCGTAAATCATAAATTTAAGATACTCTTTGTAAGGCCAAAGATTATAAAACTGCAGGCAGGATGGTCATTTAATCATGGTTTTTAACAACCACACTAAAAGATGTAATTATTTTCATATACATGCTAAATTTTAATAATTTTCATTTACCATTTGAATATAAATTCTCACTTTCTTCCTGGTAAATTTTATTTCCCCATTTCTTTGTGTAATAATAAATATGATAATTATATCACAATTTTTCTTTTAATAGTATGTATTTAAACATATTAAATATAGTACAAAGTTAAAAATGGTACCCATAATATTTTAGTTTATATATAACATGAAGGAACATTTTAAAAATGGAATTACTGATGAATATAATGATATAAAAACTTAACACTGTTAAGTAAATGCATGTTACTGGTAATTAATGACGATAAAATACAAGATTCTGTACACCCCTGATAAGGAGCAACTGTGAGCTGAACTCAGGAAGATGACACTGTTCAAAACAGGAAGACAATTTTTATATATAGTGTAACAACCCACTGTATCAAAAAATTGTAAAAACCCAGAGAGAAGCTGTCATTTGACATTAATTAAAACAATTGTGATTTATAGAAGGTTTTTGTCTTATAAACAGGTAAGAGCTTGCTCACTATGCAGGCTGAGTATATAACAATATTAAGTTTGTCATAGTTTTGGCATCCATAGATTGATTGTTTTCATTTTAACAATCAGTTAATCTTATCTATCATGATAATCTGTGATATTGTTATGGGTATTGCTTTTTGACTGTTTGTTTATTGACATTATCTAAAAAATCCCTTTTCCGGTTACAATTGTAACACGGTAATTGATACAATCACATGAAATACAGAGCGTATGATCTTTAGTCATTCCTCATTCAGTACCTATATGTTATAAACAACCCATTCTCTCCTTATTAAATGTACAGAGGGTGTCATAAGATTTACTACAGAGGGAAGCTTTCTGTCAGAAACAAGTAAAAAATGCCACAGAAATAAGAAATTAATTCCTATTTACATGATTTAGGTAAAAGAATGTATAATTTTCAAACAGGTAATTTGAAAATATTACCTGATTCAGTAATACACCTTATGTACACCAGTCACCTAAAAGTCCCAGTGCTTGTGATAAAAGATGAATATAGCATTAATTTAAGTCACTGCTTTTCTTCATTCAGAGCCTGTCATTTTTTGTCAGCTCTATAAAGTGATATATGTAAAGTGAGACATTTTATATAATTTATATAGAACTTTGTACTTCTGGTATAATTATGTACTTCGTACACTTGCATCATAATTACTATTAATGTATGCTGTACAGTGTTTGCCAGGGTGCATAAATCAAGAGGACATAGAATAGATAGTTAAGTATCATGAAGAAGATTTTCAAAGGACATTTGAAGGATTTAGCTGATATTTGAGATTTCTTGGAGATATATACTTAAATATATAAGATAAATATGAATTGTTACAGGATTCTACAATGGCTGCCCTGGAGAAAGATGTCCAATCTTTGTTACTATGACAAGAGATGATGACATGTTACTTGTTTGTTACAGGATTCTAGAATTGCTGCCCTGGAGAAAGATGTCCAAGCTTTGGAGGACAGGATCATGAAAAACCAGGAGGATGGATCCGACGGGAGTGTGAAAAAAGAAACCGGACTCAAAGACAGCTTGTCCAGTAGAGAGAAACATCTCAGATCAGAGGTTAGTGTCCAAAATAAATAGTCTGTTAAAACCCCCCAGAAATTCTGTGTAGGAAACATTGCATCAACACAATTAAAATCCAAAACAAGATAATGAATTACCCTCATAGAAACATGAGGGATTATTAATTTTCTCAGAAATCCAAAAATACTAGTGTTTTCTTAATTATGATTTTATTAAAATATCTGGTCTCAGCTAAGTATGAAAAATGTGAATGATTTAATACACGATATTGATGAGTAAACTGTGATAAAGTTATATTGATCTGTTATACATATTATACTATCACAACCACTGTAGTATATTGTGATATCTGATTTAATTCCCAGGTCTGTCATTTGGGGGTGGGGATGGGGAAGAATCTGGGCTTTGTGGTAGGGTATGTGCAAATAAACTTCCATTATTTTGCACTCACCTGGTCAGAAGCATTTTCTTTTTTGGAAACAAATCTTGAAGCCTATGTATGTCCTTACCATAGGAAATTTAAACTCGCCCGAGTTTTTTTTTTAATGTTTATCAAATGCTACTCTAAACAATAACTGGTAGTTGTTGAATGTGTAGGTGGAAAGACTGAAGACAGAATTAACAAGGAAAGACGCTGAAATCGAGGGACTGAAACTGAAGGTAGACACACTGACAAGTCAGCAGTCAGAAAACCAGCAACACATCACTGTACTAAAAGACCAGGTGTCAGCTAAAGATAAACAGCTAGCCATGCTACAGACAGAGGTATGTAAACCAATAACACATCACTGTACTGAAAGATCAGGTGTCAGCTAAAGATAAACAGCTAGCCATGCTACAGACAGAGGTATGTAAACCAATAACACATCACTGTACTGAAAGACCAGGTGTCAGCTAAAGATAAACAGCTAGCCATGCTACAGACAGAGGTATGTAAACCAATAACACATCACTGTACTGAAAGATCAGGTGTCAGCTAAAGATAAACAGCTAGCCATGCTACAGACAGAGGTATGTAAACCAACAACACATCACTGTACTAAAGATAAACAGCTAGCCATGCTACAGACAGAGGTATGTAAACCAACAACACATCACTGTTCTAAAGATAAACAGCTAGCCATATGCTACAGACAGAGGTACGTAAACCAACAACACATCACTGTTCTAAAGATAAACAGCTAGTCATGCTACAAACAGAGGTATGTAAACCAATAACACATCACTGTACTGAAAGATCAGGTGTCAGCTAAAGATAAACAGCTAGTCATGCTACAAACAGAGGTATGTAAACCAGTAACACATCACTGTTCTAAAGATAAACAGCTAGCCATGCTACAGACAGAGGTATGTAAACCAACAACACATCACTGTTCTAAAGATAAACAGCTAGTCATGCTACAAACAGAGGTATGTAAACCAGTAACACATCACTGTTCTAAAGATAAACAGCTAGCCATGCTACAGACAGAGGTATGTAAACCAATAGCACATCACTGTTCTAAAGATAAACAGCTAGCCGTGATACAGACAGAGGTATGTAAACCAACAACACATCACTGTTCTAAAGATAAACAGCTAGCCATGCTACAGACAGAGGTATGTAAACCAATAGCACATCACTGTTCTAAAGATAAACAGCTAGCCGTGATACACACAGAGGTATGTAAACCAGTAACATACCACTGTTCTAAAGATAAACAGCTAGCCATGCTACAGACAGAGGTATGTAAACCAACAACACATCACTGTACTGAAAGATAAACAGCTAGCCATGCTACAGACAGAGGTGTGTAAACCAGCAACACATCACTGTTCTAAAGATAAACAGCTAGCCATGCTACAGACAGAGGTATGTAAACCAACAACACATCACTGTACTGAAAGACCAAGTGTCTGCTAAAGACAAACAGAGGTGTGTACACTTCAGACAGGTATACACTACATGAATGCCATAGACAGCTTGGTGTAGGCTAGTATGGCACTGTTTTTCTAAAGATGGCTAGTTTATAGGCACATAAGGCATGCTTATAAAAAGAAATTTTATGTTCCAATCAGAATTTGGATTGATATAAGTGAACATTAGAAAGGTTGGCATAAAACAGACAGAGGTAATTGTACAGAGTTGTTAGAAATTATCAGACCTGCCAGTAAAATAGATAAAGAATTGCCTGGACTGATGAATTCCTTGGACTTGTCTGGAAGTCCAGATTACTAATATACATATACCGTATATCCTGTTTTTCTTTTTCGCGATGATCTATTTTTCGCGTTTTTAGCTCACCTGAGCCAAAGGCTCAAGTGAACTTTTCTGATCAAAATTTGTCCGTTGTCTGTCGTCGTTGTCGTCGTTGTTGTCGTTGTAGTCGTTGTCGTTGTTGTTGTAAACTTTTCACATTTTCATCTTCTTCTCAAGAACCACTGGGCCAAAATTCAACCAAACTTGCCACAAAGCATCCTTGGGTAAAGGGGATTCAAGTTTGTTCAAATGAAGGGCCACGCCCTCTTTCAAGGGGAGATAATTAGGAATTCGTGAAAAAATAATGGCATCATTTAAAAATCTTCTTCTCAAGAACCACTTGGCCAGGAAAGATGAAACTTATGTGGAAACATCCTCAGGTAGTGAAGATTCAAGTTTGTTCAAATCATGACCCCCGGGGGTAGGGTGGGGCCACAATGGGGGATCCAAGTTTTACATAGAAATATATAGGAAAATATCTTTAAAAATCTTCTTCTTAAGAACAGCAAAGCCATGATTGGTCATATTTATATGGAAGCATCCTCAGGTAGTGTAGATTCAATTTTGTTCAAATCATGACCCCCGGGGGTAGGGTGGGGCCACAATGGGGGATCCAAGTTTTACATAGAAATATATAGGAAAATATTTTTAAAAATCTTCTTTTTAAGAACAGTGAAGGCAAGATTGGTCATATTTATATGGAAGCATCCTCAGGTAGTGTAGATTCAAGTTTGTTCAAATCATGACCCCCGGGGGTAGGGTAGGGCCACAATGGGGGATCCAAGTTTTACATAGAAATATATAGGAAAATATCTTTAAAAATCTTCTTCATAAGAACAGCAAAGCCATGATTGGTCATATTTATATGGAAGCATCCTCAGGTAGTGTAGATTCAATTTTGTTCAAATCATGACCCCCGGGGGTAGGGTGGGGCCACAATGGGGGATCCAAGTTTTACATAGAAATATATAGGAAAATATTTTTAAAAATCTTCTTTTTAAGAACAGTGAAGGCAAGATTGGTCATATTTATATGGAAGCATCCTCAGGTAGTGTAGATTCAAGTTTGTTCAAATCATGACCCCCGGGGGTAGGGTGGGGCCACAATGGGGGATCCAAGTTTTACATAGAAATATATAGGAAAATATCTTTAAAAATCTTCTTCTTAAGAACAGCAAAGCCATGATTGGTCATATTTATATGGAAGCATCCTCAGGTAGTGTAGATTCAATTTTGTTCAAATCATGACCCCCGGGGGTAGGGTGGGGCCACAATGGGGGATCCAAGTTTTACATAGAAATATATAGGAAAATATCTTTAAAAATCTTCTTCTTAAGAACAGCGAAGCCATGATTGGTCATATTTATATGGAAGCATCCTCAGGTAGTGTAGATTCAATTTTGTTCAAATCATGACCCCCGGGGGTAGGGTGGGGCCACAATGGGGGATCCAAGTTTTACATAGAAATATATAGGAAAATATCTTTAAAAATCTTCTTCTTAAGAACAGTGAAGGCAAGATTGGTCATATTTATATGGAAGCATCCTCAGGTAGTGTAGATTCAAGTTTGTTCAAATCATGACCCCCGGGGGTAGGGTGGGGCCACAATGGGGGATCCAAGTTTTACATAGAAATATATAGGAAAATATCTTTAAAAATCTTCTTCTTAAGAACAGCAAAGCCATGATTGGTCATATTTATATGGAAGCATCCTCAGGTAGTGTAGATTCAAGTTTGTTCAAATCATGACCCCCGGGGGTAGGGTAGGGCCACAATGGGGGATCCAAGTTTTACATAGAAATATATAGGAAAATATCTTTAAAAATCTTCTTCTTAAGAACAGCGAAGCCATGATTGGTCATATTTATATGGAAGCATCCTCAGATAGTGAAGATTCAAGTTTGTTCAAATCATTACCCCGGGGATAGGTTGGGGCCACAATGGGTGATCAAAGTTTAAAGAGGAATATATAGGGAAAAGTCTTTTTCTCAAGAACAGAAAAGCCATGATTAGTCAAATTGATATGGAGGCATCTTTGGGTAGTGTAGAATGAAATTTGTTCAAATGAGGGCCCCCGAGGGGTAGGGTGGGGCCACAATGGGGGATCAAATTTTTACAAATGAATATATGGAAAAAAAATCTGCTGCTCAAGAACAACAAAGCCATTTGTTATATTGATATGAAAGCATCATCAGGTAGTTTAAAATTCAACACCCCCCTCCTTGTAAACTTTTCAATACTGTACTGATTTTTGCTTTTTTTCCTAGCCTATGTGCTCAGGTGAGCGATGTGGCCCATGGGCCTCTTGTTTGCAATTATTTTTAATTTGCAAAAAATAAAACATGCAGAAATTATGTTGGTTATTGTGTGCCATAAAAACATTACCATTTTTTAAAATTTTTCTTTTAAATTGTATAAATAACTTACACAAAATAAAAACTGTACAAATCTACTGTTTTTTGCAAAATTTCAAACACAACGTAGTAAAGATTTGTTGAAACTTTGGTGCCTATCGTTTATTACCCATGAATGACTCAAGGGGTGTATTCTAATTTAATATACCTAAAAATGTTGTTAAGGTAATTTTATTTTCTGTTGCAATATTTAGATTGATGAATTCATAGAAAAGTTAAAGGAGAAAAACTCCACTATTGATAAGAATGACCAGAAGTCCCAGAGTCTACAGTCAGAAAAGAGACGCATTGAGAATGAGGTGACAGAGCTGAGAGAACAGATAGAAACCAAGGACAGGAAACTCACTCTCCTGCAGAGGAAGGTAAAAATGGTTCAACTTCTCAAATTAGTTTTTATTCCCACAAAGTGCACTGAAGAATAATAATAAATGAAAACTAAATTAAAATTACAATGTATATCTGACTGTGTTGTCTTTAAAGAAATTTAAAGAAAAAAAAATATTTTTACTGGACTTACATGATGTGCAAACTTGCACATTTCTCATCTTTTTTAGCTCACCTGAGCCGAAGGCTCAAGTGAGCTTTTCTGATCAAAATTTGTCTGTTGTCTGTTGTCGTCGGCGTCGTCTGCGTCGTTGTTGTATTAAACTTTTCACATTTTCATCTTCTTCTCCAGAACTACTGGGCCAATTTCAATCGAACTTGGCACAAAGTATCCTTGGGTGAAGGGGTTTCAAGTTTCTTCAAATGAAGGGCCACGCCCTCCTCCAAGGGGAGATAATTACGAAATAGCAAAAAATTAATGGCATTATTGAAAAATCTTCTTCTCAAGAACCAGTGGGCCAGGAAAGATGAAACTCATGTGGAATTATTGTCAGGTAGTGTAGATTCAAGTTTGTTCAAATCATGACCCCCGGGGATAGGGTGGGGCCACAATGGACAATCAAAGTTTTACATAGGAATATATAGGAAAAATCTTCAAAAATCTTCTTCTCAAGAACAGCAAAGCTATGATTGGTCATATTTATTTGGAAGCATCCTCAGGTGGTGTAGATTCAAGTTTGTACAAATCGTGACCCCCGGGGGTAGGGTAGGGCCACATTGGACGATCAAAGTTTTACATAGGAATATATAGGAAAAATCTTCAAAAATCTTCTTCTCAAGAACAGCAAAGCTATGATTGGTCATATTTATGTGGAAGCATCCTCAGGTGGTGTAGATTCAAGTTTGTTCAAATCATGACCCCCAGGGGAAGGGTGGGGCCAAAATGGACAATCAATGTTTAACATAGGTGTACATAGGAAAAATCTTCAAAAATCTTCTTCTCAAGAACAGCAAAGCTATGATTGGTCACATTTATTTGGAAGCATCCTCAGGTGGTGTAGATTCAAGTTTGTTCAAATTATGACCCCCGGGGATAGGGTGGGGCCACAATGGACGATCAAAGTTTTACGTAGGAGTGTATAGGAAAAATCTTCAAAAATCTTCTCAAGAACAGCAAAGCTATGATTGGTCATATTTATGTGGAAGCATCCTCAGGTGGTGTAGATTCAAGTTTGTTCAAATCATGACCCCCGGGGGTAGGGTGGGGCAACAATGTATGATCAAAGTTTTACATAGGAATATATAGGAAAAATCTTTAAAAATCTCAAGAACAGCAAAGCCACGGTTTGTCATATTTATATGGAAGCATCCTCAGATAGTGTAGATTCAAGTTTGTTCAAATCATGACCCCCCCCCCCTCTCCCTTTTTAGGGGTAGGTTGGGACCACTTATGCATTTATGCTTTTCAATACTAAACTGATTTTTCCTTTTTTCCTAGCCACAGTGCTCAGGTGAGCAATCTGGCCCTTGGGCCTCTTGTTTCAATAAAGAATAGTATCATAAAAAGTGTAGAGGAATTATGTAGAATTAAGAAGCGTAAAATTTCTCATGTGAATAGACAGGGCTCGACATTAACGCTTGTCCGCTTGTCCGGTACCAGTGAAAAAAAATTACGGACAAGTGAATATTGTTGGGCATTTGTCCGATTGGACAAGTGCATTTTAATGTAAAGTAGTCTCTAAATAATTAAAAAAAACGACTGTTGAAAGTTAATCGGTAGTTTCAAGACGGAAGCTGTACATAAAAACCGTACTTCGATCCCAATAGGGATCGCTATTAATTGAGTTCACATGCGATCGGGATCGAAGTTCACTAATTGCATACTACTGGGCAGCCATACTACTGAAAAGACATGGAACTTACGAACTTAACGAAGTTTGGTTCACTTGTGGACATTTATGTTGTTGTCAGACCAGAAAGACCAGATAAAATTTCGTTTTATGTGTTTGTTGTATTCATCAATAACATCACGAATCAATCAAGCACATGTCATGTGTAATAGACTTAATTTTAGTTTTCAAGTTGACAATTAGATATTTATTGAAGATTTTTCGGACAAGTGAAATTGAAGTTCGGACAAGTAAATGTCTTGGTCACTTGTCCAAATGGACAAGTAGGAAAAAAAGTTAATGTCGAGCCCTGATAGATAAATGCAATATTTAGTAAATAAGGTGTTCTTTTATGTAAATTTAAGTTGTAGAAGATCAATTTATCCCAACTCTGTCTATTAGTAAATGAGGTGTTCCTTTTGTCAGATTGAAGCTCTAGAAGAAGATCTTAAGGAGAAGGATGCCACAATATCTCAGTTGAAGGCATCACAAAGCCACATAGAGAACACCACCACTGCCATCGCCACACTGGAGGAGACCATCACAGAGAAAGAGAGGCAGATTGATAGGTGGGTGTCCATTGTCAAAAGGTTGACCATTTCCAGACATGTTACTCATTTGGTTAATTTTTAGAAGCATCAGGGTTTAGTTTCTTTTTCTAGTTGCATCAGTGGTGTTTTTGTTTTACCATTAGAAATGCTCTCTAGCTAAAAGTCATTGCATAAAAATTTCAGAATATTAAGGGATCTATTTCATGTTTGCAATCTGTATCTTTTAAGTTTCACAATAATTATGAATTGTACTATTTTTTCTTTCATGTATCATGTTAACTGGAGCGTTAATTAATTATTTGACTGTGTGACAGACTGAAGGAACAGAGAGACCGGGCCGAATCAGAACATCAGGAGGAATGTGATCTCTACATGAAGAGAAACCATGAACTGAAGGCCCAGGTGGATAAACTACAGCTGGAGATCACAGACAGACAGGTAAACACAGACAGACAGGTAAACACAGACAGACAGGTAAACAGACAGACAGGTAAACACAGACAGACAGGTAATCACAGACAGACAGGTTATCACAGACAGGTAAACAATAAACTGAAGGCCCAGGTGGATAAACTACAGCTGGAGATCACAGACAGACAGGTAAACCATGTACTGAAGGCCCAGGTGGATAAACTGCAGCTGGAGATCACAGACAGACAGGTAAACCATATACTGAAGGCCCAGTGGGATAAACTGCAGCTGGAGATCATAGACAGACAGGTAAACAGATAGACAGGTAATCACAGACAGACAGGAAAACAGACAGACAGGTAAACAAAGACAGGCAGGTAAACACACACAGACAGGTAAACACAGACAGACAGGTAAACACAGACAGACAGGTAAACAGACAGACAGGTAAACACAGACAGACAGGTAATCACAGACAGAAAGGTAAACAGAGACAGACAGGTAAACAATAAACTGAAGGCCCAGGTGGATAAACTACAGCTGGAGGTCACAGACGGACAGGTAATCACAGACAGACAGGTAAACAGACAGACAGGTAATCACAGACAGACAGGAAAACAGACAGGAAGATTGACATGTAAACTAAAACAGACATGAAGAAAACACAGACAGGTAAAGACAGACACAGACATATTGGCAAACAAAGACTGGCGTAAAAAGAAATGGGTAAATACAGACAGGAAGAAAAGTTAAGAGAATCGTTCCATTATTGAAATATTTGTGTTATATTCTTAATGTTTTTTTTATAGCAGCTGATTTCTGCTTCAATCATCTATTTTATTTTCGAGTTTCTAGGGTACGTACATTTATTTTCTTGTTCAGTTCTTTGGGTATACACATGTACGTGTATTTTGTAGACTGAGCTGTGTGAACTGAGGGAGAAGGTCACAGAGGCAGGGTCAGACAAATTTAAATCAGAGACGCGCATCAAACAACTGGAGCAAGAAAACCGGGAGAAGACGGAGGAAATTCAGAAGTTAAAGGCAGAGGTTGAAGAGGTAACACAATAACTCTTGCACTTGTATAAAAATTTAACTGTTTGATGTGAACTCGTCACATTTTGTACTTCTCTAATTTTATATTTCTGATAAGAACAGATTGCTTTAAATGAGTGACATGTCAGGGGAACTTTTATTCTTTTAAAAAAGTATGGAATAACATAATGCAGCTATGTTGAGGCTGCCCGGGGCATTCAAGCATATCATTACATATCCAGCTTGGTTTTGATTTCAACATGCAGACTTTTTGCTCAGAAGGATATCTCGACAACATATCACATTTTTTGCAATATCACATGACCTGATTGATCACATGGCAGTCAGTTATAATTTTTTCAAGTGTTGCACATAAATTGTTTCATTGCAAGGACTTAACACATTTTTTTTTTTTACGTAAATAAATGTATTGTATCCTAATGTACCTGAAAAATGCTTGGGACCAGCCATAGTATTATTAGTGTTTAAATATTTCATGAGAATTTTAACTAACCCACACATTTGAGATATTTTTCATTCTTTATCATAATTTATATCAAAGAGAAGCTATTACACTATCAACCTAAGCAAGATTCATTTAGAGAACATTCACCTCTTATAAATTTTCAGAGAATATTTACAATAAATCCTTATCAATCACTTGAACCAGCATGTTGTATACACATGTATAAATTCTACCTCTTACCATGGTCCTATTCATGGGAGCATTTCTGAGATTTTGCAATATCATATGCAATCCAGAGAATTTATACAAAGTAATGTTGTAATATTCAGTAATAATTATACACCCTTACACTTAAACCTAAAGTAAGAAGACATGAACTTTATGGCACTCTTCCCTTCATGACAGCTTAAGTTTGCAGTGACTTGATGTCATACTCACATCTTTAGTTGGTAGTTAAGAGAAAAAACTGCACAGGATGTACTGTGATATTTTATTGGAGACCTAACCTACCAAGGAAAATTTCAAGTCCAAGAGAACATGCAATCCTTAGCATCAACTCAAAAAGAATCCTTCAGTCGTTTACACTAATATTAAAATATTTCTCTGAATTTGCTATGATTGATTTTATTTAGAAAGCAAAAGCTGCAGCTGAGAAAGCTGTAAGTGAAGAGAGTGAGAAGAAGGTGACAGAACTGATGTCACAGCTAGAGAAACAGGAAGAGGAAGTCAAGACAATAAAGGAAGAGGTCAAAAGGTCACAGGCTGTCATCACAGAAATGGAGGAGGACAAGGCCAAGAAAGAGAAGGAGATTGCTGAAATGCAGGAGTAAGTCTGTTGTACATTAAGATAGATATCATGTAAAAGAAAAACAATCTATTTTCAGTGTTCAGGAAACATTTTTTGAAACATCAGCCTATTAGGGGCTAGTGTACTTGACAAATAAAGTAATCTAACTTACTTAGTCAGGTACAAATGTAAATCATGTTTTCAGAGCTGTTATTTCATTTACTCTCAATTTCATTTTCATAATATTTCAGTATGGTTCTCAAAATCTTTTTAATTACTCCCTACCCTGTCATACTACATATACTGTCGAGGTATATTAGTAAAGCTTTGCCAAAGTTTGGTGACATGGTGCACTTTTCTGAAGACTGCATTATAGGCTACGATAAGGGGAGGACTTCGAATCATAATAAGATGTCTCATTATTTATTCAATATCCACATGAATCAAATGAATTTGAATGCCATTTATATACTTTCAAGACTATCCCTTGTGTTATGATGAAAGTGAAAAAAATACCTGATATACATATGTATTTATATCCTAAAAAATTGCATACAGAGTCATATAATATTTTCTATTACCCAGTATAATAAAAGAATACAAGCAAAAGATGGGAACCTTAAAACGTAGCCAGCAGATAGAGAAGAAGAAGAATGCTCACTTACTGGAGGAGGCACGGCGAAGGGAAGGGGACCTCAACGATGACGCCTCACAATTAAAGGTAATACTTAAAGAAGGGGACCTCAATAATGACGCCTAACAATTAAAGGTAATACTTAAAGAAGGGGACCTCAATGATGATGCTTCACAATTGAAGGTAATACTTAAAGAAAGGGACCTCAATGATGATGCCTCATAGTTAAAGGTAATAATTAAAGAAGGGGACCTCAATGATGACGCTTCACAATTGAAGGTAATACTTAAAGAAAGGGACCTCAATGATGATGCCTCACAATTAAAGGTAATAATTACAGAAGGGGACCTCAATGATGATGCCTCAAAGTTAAAGGTAATACTTAAAGAAGGGGACTTCAATGATGATGCCTCACAATTAAAGGTAATAATTAAAGAAGGGGACCTCAATGATGACACCTCATAGTTAAAGGTAATAATTGAAGAAGAGGACCTCAATGATGACAATGATTACAATTACACATAATTTAGAGAAAGGGACCTCAGAGTGATGCCTCACAATTAAAGGTAATAGTTAAATACAGAAAATTCGTATCCTCTGACGTGAAACACCCTTGCATGAAAATATCTAAATAATTATGTAACAGAAAAATTAAAGATATAGCAGTTCTTTTTAATTTGTAAAACGTTTTACAAGTAAATACATTCATTTGACCAAAATTTATTTTTTAAAGATATAAATCAACAATTTTAATCATTTTGAGTTTCTTTTTTTCGGAGAATATTATTAAAAACTAAGATGTATTCCTTTTGTACAACATTTGATATATATACTTCTGACCGGTTTTAATGGAGTAGCCTGTACTGTGTGAGAAACGAATTGCACTCATAGCTGAAAAAGTTGTGTCTATAGTCCTATGAACGCAACTGATGAGTGCAGGTTCATAGTGAGAGAAAACAGAGAGTATGCAAATATATGCAAATGTCCATTTAAAATAACTATAAATATTGTTTATAGGATGCTGTGATTGCTAAAGGAGACAGAATAGAAGAGTTAGAAGAGGCATTGAAGGAGAGTGTACGCATCACAGCAGAGCGAGAGATGGTGATGGTGGAGCAACAACAACAGCTGGAGGAGGCAGAAAACAAGGTCTGTTTAACAGTAATCTCAGATACATGTATAAGAGGCTGGAAGCAAGTTCTGTATAATTATAAATTTTATAAATCCAAGCACTCTTGATGCAAGCCTATTGCAGAGGTGTCTGAGAGAGGAACGAATGACAACTCTGCAAGGGAGATTGAAATTTAAGTCAGATAATAATACTAGGAGATGCCTTTGTGTATGTTTTGATGATGACTTAATGCTTGTACTATTTTGTTATCGTTAGGTGGCTGAGCTGACCATGGAGCTAGCCAGGAATAAATCTGCAGAGAACAGTGCCAGGGTCAACTTCCTGACCAAACAGCTGGAGGACAAGGAACAAAAGCTGAAGAAACTCCAGTCTGAGAGGCACAAACACCTAGAGGAGGTCTACGAAATGAAGTAAGTCAGGGGATATGAGTATTATCCTACTGCTCTCCCCAATTTCTCAGGTCAGAGAATCAAAACAGGCATCTATATCAAATATATCCGGAACCATAATATGGTACAAGTTTGTGAACAAAAATGACGTAAATACAAAGCTTTTTATACTGTAAATCACTTTTAATTCATGAGACAGTGTGCTTGCAAAAATTTATTCTCACATATATTAGTATTCCTAAAGATCATATAGAGCAGTAACCACAATTTGTGAAAATATTGTCTCACTAATAAAGAGTGAATGATAATCTCTCGAAAATAAGGTGTTGCGAAAATTTAGCGATCTACAGTAACTAGAAGTTATCTAATGGTAGGAATTTATTTTTTAAGACAAGAGGCCATTCAGGCAGCCATGAGTGAAAAGGATGCCAACATTGCTTTGCTGGAGATGACCAGCACAAAACAAAGGAGGAACACAGAGGAGATAGAAAAACTCAACCGGGAAAAGGAAAAGTTACAGCAGCAACTCAAGGAAGTGGTAAGTCAAGTCAGAGATAGAAAAACTCAACTTGGAGAAGGAAAGTTACAGCAGCAACTCAAGGAAGTGGTAAGTCAAGTCAGAGATAGAAAAACTCAACCAGGAAAAGGAAAAGTTACAACAGCAACTCAAGGAAGTGGTAAGTCAAGTCAAAGAGATAGAAAAACTCAACCACAAGAAGGAAAAGTTACAGCAGCATCTCAAGGAAGTGGTAAGTCAAGTCAAAGAGATAGAAAAACTCAACCACAAGAAGGAAAAGTTACAGCAGCAACTCAAGGAGGTGGTAAGTCACATTAAAGAGATAGAACAACTCAACCTGGAGAAGTAAAAGTTACAGCAGCAGCTCAAGGAGTTGTAATTCAAGTCAAAGAGGTAGAACAACTCAACCACAAGAAGGAAAAGTTACAGCAGCAACTCAAGGAGGTGGTAAGTCACATTAAAGAGATAGAACAACTCAACCTGAAGAAGAAAAAGTTACAGCAGCAACTTAAGGAGGTGGTAAGTAAAGTCAAAAATAGAAAAATCTCAACCGGGAGAAGGAAAAGTTACAGCTGCTGCAGTCAAGTCAAGAATGTTAAGTCAAGTCAGGGATGTCATTTAAGTCAGTCAGGGTTGTGAGTTAAACAGACTGAGAAAAGATACTGAGGACATAGAAAACCAACATAGAGAAGGAAACGTAGTCAAGTCAAAGTGATAAGCCAAAGTTAGTAAGTTAAATGTTGAGTCAAGTGAGATATGTATGGGAGTTAGAGACACATTTGTTTCAAACAGCCTTTATAAAAAGAATGTGACCAGTAATTGTGTATTATATCATCATTTCTACTGTTTGTTTGTTTTGTTTGTTTTTAGACACAGAACCGGATGAAGCTGATCCAGAAACAGGAGAGAAGAAGTGAGTCTCTGGGGCGCTCCAAGAAATCCCCCAGTCACAAGGCCAAGGGGGCGTCGCCTGACCGCGTAAATCCTTATGTTCTTACAGCCCCGGCATCACTCGACTCCTGACACAAGTTACAGAATAACTTAGTGTATAACTAAGCACTGTAACATATGAAAGATAATTACAAACCACTGCAATAAATATAAGATATATAACTTTGATGTAATTAATTGATCACTGATTTTTCTGCTGAGTGAGAAAAGTAAGAAATGTACTGTGTGGGATACCATTTCTTCATTTTTGGTGTGGGATACCAAAAATGAAGAAATAGTTGTAACATAATGAATTAATAAATCATGCAGTTTGTTTTGCATGTGGTAATGCAATTACCAGTTTTTCTTCTGATTGTAATATTTCATGAAGAGGTCCACCCTGATTTCCCTGTGGCTTTAGACCAATCCTCATATGACCAGATGCTATAGCTTCTGTGATTGTTAAAGATGTTCTCTGTCAAACAAGACGGCATTGTGTTTGTGTGTTTAACTTGTGTGATTTTGGAAGAGATGTGTCAATTTACAGTCCTGGTTGAGAATGATGATATGTAGTACTGTTTACAACTGTGTTTTTCACTCAAGGTTTTTTTGTATGTTTTTGGAACAAATCCATTTTTGCCCCTGCTTAGAATTAAGGTTGTTTAAGTCTGTATTTTTGATGATTATAGGTAAATGTTATGTTTACTTGATTGCTGTTATAATTAAATTTATGGTTTTATTATTTTCTGAAAAAAAAGCTTGAAAAACCTATGGAATGAGAATATCTGCCTATTATTTTTTGGTGATCACATTTGCACAAAATACATGTACATGGAAAAAAAGTAAGCTAATACTGAAGATAAGTTCTCAGAGGCAGCCTGTGTTACATTTACAGAGATTTACTTTTTTCTGGCAGAGTTATCTACCTTTGATTAATTACGGTTGTACCTTGATACTCCAGTTATCGTTGTTTTTGTAGGGAAGGCCATTTTTCAGTCAGAAAAACTATCAAAAAGCATTTTTCCCTTAGCTTTATGAAACAGAATAGTGCTAAAAGAATTCAAATTTCATCAGAGTATTAAACATGACACTTATTACCTCAAATTTAGTAGAGTTATCTTTCCTGGGCCAGTGGCAATATTCAGTGATCAGAGAAGAGGGTTTGATGAAGATGGATGTACAATGTGTGAATGCTGATTTATTATGTGAAACCTTGTGATATTGTTTGATTTTTCTGTAGAAAACTTGGTTAGTTACTTAAGACTAGTATTTTGTATAAAATAATTAGGTCATTTATAAGTGTGCAAGCTTTATTGGTAAATGAATTCCAGATCGAGAAATTGTTTTCTGTATATAATGTGAAAAAAAATCCAGCCAAGCTTTGCCATGATTGTACATGTATATCTATGTGTGTTTCTTAATTTGTGTGGCCAACTGCCAGTGTTGTACTGAAAATAAGTGAAATCATATTGTTGTGATGTTTTTCTTGAAAATTAAGATTTTGACAATACCTTGGTAGAGGGTTACTTGTTTGGTCTCTCTCTCCTCTTTCTCTCTCTCTCTCTTACACACACACATGACTATTTAAAATTGTATGTTTAACAGTCACTTCTTCTAACAAATTTGTGTTCAGTTTTCACTGAATTACAAGTACTGATACACAGTATGTGCCTTTGTTTATAATGTACAACAGATGTTATAATATTGAAACTAAACCAAAGAAAAAGAAAAAACCCAGAAAAAGTGTAGCTTTCAAAAAGTACCAGTGTTTGTATGGAAAACATAATACATATAGTTAATTTCTTTTAGATCTGTAGGTATCTGCATTATATAGTGATATAATACAGTGAAACTTTTCTAATCCAGTCACCACTGGTTCTAAAGAAGTTCGCAGGATTAGACAACATTCCGGATTAATTTACATTTAAAACATCTGAAATTACTGAAAGGGACTTTAAGTTTACATCTTATTAGGCAAGATTTCAGAATACACAACATTCGGATTAGACAAGTTTCACTGTATTATTCATTTATAACATATTTTCTTTTTAATTATGATTGTGTATAATGTCAATACTAGTAGTGCATGTAATGCATGTGTTCATTGTAGACTGTGTATTTAGTGAATTAGTTATTTATTCATGCAATTAAGTCCTTACACAGATAATTTTTTAAATCCACATGAAGATGTGTTTTCCTAAAAATAAATTATTTGTATGTAGACTTATAACTGACATATGTGTGTGGTTGGTCTACATAAAACACACTTAACAAAACTTAAGTCTTAGTAAATGTAGTGTTGGTGCTGTTTATGTAGAATTGGATTTATTGTAAAAAAATTTTACCATTTTCAATGTGTTCAAAATCATTTTGATTGTGCTGCAATCCAGACTTTTTAGATTTGTTTACCCTTACACATGCTGTTTACAGCATTCAACATTCATCTACTTTGTCCCAACAATAAAGGGATTGTAATGACTGTAGCTTTTGTTTAATTCTACAATCCTAATTCAAAATGGTACATGTAGTCTTTGTCCTGAAATCCATCCTCATTCTTTTTTTTTTTTTTTTTTTGAATTTTAATTTTTATTAAGATTTATTGATTTGTATGATTTCCAGGTTGTTTTTATATAAATGTATATCACTTTAAGTACCATATATGTTTTAAATCATAAAACAACAAGTTGAAATCCTGTTAAACTGGTTCTCCTCCTAAAATATTGGTCTGATTTCTATAGACTTAACCTTTGGAGTTGATTTTATCAGAGGTTGATATGAATACAGAAAGCATTAAGGTACAGAATTTTCCAATAGTATCGCTGTGGTTACTAAAAAAAAAAGGTTCATGTATTAAATAATGCTACATGTAATTACATGCACTCATATATTTTTACATATGATTAGAGTAAAATATTAACTCCACCAACTTGCTTGTATCTTTGAATCACTTTCCATTTTCAAGAAATGATCTTGATAGAAAAGAATTAAAATAAAAGTTAAAATGTATTTTAAAAAAAACAACTTTTTTTTGCCTGATTAAAATCTTTCAGTAATATACACTTCAAGATTACTGGTTTTTATTTGATTAATTTAAAGGTATAGGGACTATCAATAAATTGAAAAAATAAAATTATTTTAATTTAAGAATAAGCATAATGTGTTGATCCCTTCGATGAAAATTAAAGAAGCAAGTATTGTCACTTTTCGGAGAAAAATGTCAAAAAAAAAAAAAAAAAAAGAAGAAGCAAAACTAGGACAAATTTTCTCCTAGTCTATCATACATGTAAATTAAAATCAGTGGAGCCACAGTCTAATCCAAGACTCATGGTGTTTTTAGGAGTATTTGTAAATTGATAATAGTGAAAGTGAATTTAAGTACTTTTCAAGAGTTGTATGGTGTTGTTGCAAACTTTAATATTTTGTGTTTCAGTTTTCAAATGTCTACTTTATTGTTGAAAATTTCATTAGAAAAATTTATGTTGAGTTGTAATATTAGCTTCCCTCTGTTTAATACTAATAATTCCATCATGTTTACTTGGTTGAGAAGTGTATCTAACAGTTAAAGTGTGACACCTTAATTTTGGTAAAGTCACCTTGTAATTGGAGGTGAAAATCTCAAAGTTTTAACGTGTACCTATTATTTTCACAGTTATGCCAGTTGCAATATATTTTTTACCGGAACAATAATTATGATAATACATATGTGTATGGCAAATTGTTGTTCTGCAATCAGCATCTTGTGTTGATTTGCTCTGTAATGTTAATATTTGCTGGCATTGCTTAGAATATGTATACACAAATAAAATGTGTAACACAAAGATCCTGTTCTGTATTGTATTTTATGAACTCTGTATTAAAGACACTCAGATGTCTGCCAGGAATTAGATCGCGCAGATTCAGGTTTGTTCAAATTGCCTTCCACAGAAGTAATGTTTTTTCCACAATATGAGATTAAAGTTTTACATGAGAATAGGTATATAAAAGATATCTAAATATTTATCATTTTTACAAGAACAGCAGGGCCATGGTACATTGTAAGTCATTATACCTTTATGTATGGTGCCGAAATGAATTGGTATTTTGGACACCAAAGCAGGCTACTGACAAAAAAGTTGAACCAATGATATAAAAGTATAAACAATTCAGAATAAGAATTCAAGATCTCTGTTCTATAAGTCTCTTAATTGTAATTTATTAATTATAGTCTTTAAATTAAAATACAGTTACTGGATGACCAGCCTTTTATTTTTATAAAATGAATTAAATGTAAAGTTGTCAAGATTAATTTTATATAGTATAAATAATAATATGATTTTTTTTAACAAACAAATTGCAGAGAGTCATGTATCACAAAGATGACAAAGTGTTGCAATTTATTTTTTCAATGTAATAAAATACAATGTAATTATTAGTATTAATGTTTTATTAGGTTGCACCTTAGTATAATGGGCAAATAAATTTTCATTCTAAGAATTTAAACAAATGTGAACACCTCTTAGATCCATAGAATATGCATAATGACTTGGCACCTGATGAAAAACCCAGCGGGGGTATATTTGTCCATTTTGGACAGTTCTAGTTTGTTTTGTTTATAATGCACAGGATCCATGATATTGATGACTTTGTTTTCATTAACCTTATTCTTTTTAATAAGGTTACTGCATGACTCTAAGATTTATAGAGACTATTTACCAAAAACTTTTTTAATACTTTGTTTTCATTAAATGCAAGCATCCTCAGGAAGTGTAGCAGAATCAAATTTGTTCAAATCATAGTCGTATATGGGATCAATGATTTACATGATAATATGTAGAAAAAATGTTTTCAAGGAGTACAGTTAAAATGTAAATCAAATTATCTTGCAAGCATCCCTAGATAGTGCAAATTCAAATTAATTGGCCCTGCAGGGATTCGATTAGGGCCACAAAAAGGGATCCATATTTGATAAAATTTATAAAATTTTCTCAAAAACAGAAGTTCAAAAGTTATTCACTCGAAAGTGCATACAAGAATCACAGTATACAGTCCAGATTGATTTACATTTATTAAAATCTTGGCCCCAGTGGCTTGGGAGGGCTAAAACAAGTAGTCAAAATTGTACAAGAAATTAATTACATAAGAAATAAAAAAATAAATAAATAAAAAAAAGAGAGTTACTTGAGCGACCTTAAATTATATTGATATGGAAACATTAATTCCATCATTGTGTTGATTCAATTTTGTTCATATAATGGACTTTGATGTTCAGATGGTGTTAAATTCAGTGATTGAATTTTGCATATACACATATATAGGAAAATATATTCTTCTCCAAAACAGCAAAACCATGTTCGTCATATCGATATCCAGAATCCCCAAAGTGTGTGGATTAAAGTTTCACAATATCTATCATGTATTGAATTTGGAGACCACGGATCTGCAACAATATATTGGAATTCCATGAGTAGTAATTGTGTCGCTTTCGTAGCCGACCTGTTTTTATATTCTTGTGAAGCAAAATTTATTTTAGAAAAAACTCCGTTAAAAGAAGTCTCCTTTCGGGTCTCAGTTTGATAAACAGAACTAACAATTTTCATCCGTAATCCCACTAATCTCGAAATAAAAGACAACACAGAGTCTGACACACCTTTTTTGATATTTGGATATTTCCCTACTGTCTTTGCAAAGAAATTCACTTTTAAAGATAAATGAGCTGAAAACTGTTTAAAAATGGTCTCTGCCAAGAATAAAAAAATGTGGGCGCGTGTGAAAACTGCGCTTCATTACAAAAATTCCTGAAGAATCCATATGAAGATATGGATTTGATAGTTCAGCCCCCCCCCCCCCCCCGCCTGCTACTGACAGATAAATTAATTGCTGTAACATGGGTATCAGCAATCTCATATAAAGTCAACATTTTGCAAATTCTACAGTTATTCGATAGAATGACCTTGCTAGCATGCACATACAACCTGTTGTCATATAAATTAAATCCCCCCCCCCCTCCCGATCATTGGCATATCAGCTTTGTAATATTCTACTAGTATATTCCTGGTATTTGTTTCCCATCAGCACATATTAAAAGTAACTAAGAGAAGTTATTGATAATCAGACTGTATATGTACTATTTCATTTCAACAGAAAAGTTAATTTATTTCATTGGAGTTTAAAAACATTGAATCTTTGCAGATTTTTTTCTAGCACTTCACTGACTCAAGCGTGACCGTTGATTCATCGCTTACTATACCAACTATAAACAATTCAAATATTTCACTGTTTGAGTATTTATTCGATACTAGAATATAAATACATTTTGCTATCAAATACAAATGTAATTCGTATAAAAATACAAATTGAAAAAGGAAACTTTATATTAGAATCACAGTATAAATATGATATATATTATACAAATAATGGTACATACAGAAAATCATACAATATAAATACAAAATATCCGATATAAATTGAATATCACTATAGTATCGAATATACAAAAAAAAAATATACAAAACAATATATAGTGAAATATACAAATAGAAAACAATGTACACTGATTAATCATATGCTAATTGCAACATTTTCTGCATACAATTGTTTCTTCCGACTCGCCATTCAATTTCTGTAGCTGTCTATAGGTACCTGTAGTTGTATTCACATTACGTAAAGAACTGGGTACGTTAAGTATAACAGAGCGGCCCTGTCTCCAAATTTGATTTCAGTTTTTTACAAACATGCCGACGATGTGTCCTTTCAAAATCATTTTATTTTTTTTAATTATCACAAACCGTTTTTCCATCAGAGGTCTCGAAAAATGGGGAGTTTTCTTTAGAAATTACAAATTTTGACGTGATAACGTCACCACGGCGTTACTGATTTTAACGTTACGTTAAAAGAAATCTGTAAATTCTCTGAACTGGAAACTATTAACTTTAACCTGCCTTATGTTTCAGAAAACAATTTTGAACTTTTATTTCAATTCATCGTAATGTATCTTTGATAGCTGGAAGGAGTAAAATAATTTAAAGGAAATATAATTTTATTACAAACGATTTCATCAGACAAGTAATGAAGCTTGATTCATCCATACAGACGAGACAAGGTAGTACTTCCTATGAAATTGTGCTCGTATCAAATTTATCATTTTTTTAATGTAAAAATGTCCTAATGATTTCTTCAATCATTTTCCGCATTGTCTATGAAGTTACACTAAAATTTTTAAAGATACATGAATCAGTATTAAAAAGAAAATTGGAACGTCCCATATAAAGTTGTCAAAATTGGATTTTTGGCAATGAAAAAGCCATCAACATCACTCCCCTTTTCCATTCCAACAAATGGCAGCGCTACTAATTTCGTTTTTTTTTTTTTTTTTTTTTTTTTTTTTTTTTTTTTTTGATAAACGTATAAATTACTCACTATTACAGGGTTACGAGGTGTCTTAAACTGCGTTAAAAATTTGTTCTCTGATGATAGGATTTCTTTTATAGATCGTTATTTATTCATTCCAGTGGATCCGCTTTACTGCTGGTTCATGTAAAATACCCTAACCAGGAACAATCCCCAATATACTTATACACAATTACTTTCTATGTTAAAACCACAAGAGGAGACCGGTTATAAGAGTACTGATTGATGAGACCATTCCAAGTTTTTTCTTTGTTTAGCGTCCATCCTAACCTATCTTCCTATCCGAGAAAACACACAAACCAAAAGGAGAAAAACGCAGCATTTTCAGAACAGTTCTAGAATTTCTTATTATCATTTGAGACCTCTCCTCGCCATAAAACTTAGTTTAACTACTAGTTTATTGAAATAAAAAAAAAAATTAATACACCACTTAAAAAAGAGAGATGTCAATCCCAAAAGAGTAAAATGCATTTCAGAGATTCGTATTTGTTGATTTTAATTTGAGTTAACTTTGTGGTTGCGTCTCAAAGATTTGTATTTATCAATTTTAATTTGTGTTTGTTTTTAATTTTATAACCTCAAAACCAATTTGTCCGCGTACAATGCACATAAAAAAAACTTGGAATGGTCTTATCATAACTTGCGTTACAGACCTTTAAAAATTTTGCTTCGAATAAAAACCGTGAATCTCCGAAAGCTTAAAAAAGGGTTTGCGATTTGTTTAGATCAATTTTACGATGAACAAAATATTTTATATAGCCAATGCTAATAATTTTATTTTAGAGACAAACACATTACTTTGCATGTACATACTCATTACTTGATTCACAAAATCGAAAATTATATGCCTAAATCTGTGTAGTGAATTCGACAGGAAATGCACACGAATTCTCGGGAAGGGATTCAGAAGCCTGTAGTACACTCTAAAGGGCATAATTCCCTAAAACTAAAAGTTAAAAAAATAAGGATATGATATTATATGTATGATTTGCATATAGAGTTTATCCGCGTCAGCTATGAAAATATGCGCATGTCGTCTTCAAAGCAATGCAGCATGAAATGGCAGACACTTGCATTGATATCGATCAGTAAAAGATCGATCAACGGTCACAGTCCAGTGGGGAGCCAAAGGAAATTGGAAAGGGATGTATTTAGTTTTAAAACAAATTCTGATATAATTTTTTTATTGATATTCATTACAGTACATGTATAATTTGATTATCGGTAAGCCTCCCCCCTTCTATTTACATAGAGACAAAATACAAATAATTGAAATGCAGAATAACAGAACACTCACATAGAAGAATCAAAATTCACTTTCACGTCCCTTTTTATAAGCTACATAGAGATTTTATTTCTAGTTCAGTTATCAAATTATACGAAATCTTATGTTATTTTGTTACTTGTGGGAACAATACGCAAAACACGTCAC